AAGAATACTGGATATGACACTACAGTTCCCTCCGCCGGATAAGAGGAATTATCGACCCTGCAAACAACTATCACACATTCCCTCAAGAGGTACGAACTGAACGACCCGAAATACTTTTTGTCTTTCCTCTGAAAAGAGAACATTGGGTTGTGGTGGGAAAGATCCGACAAAACATAACTTTCTAGCTCTATTGAAATATCTTCCAAGATATGAGTTTGATAGACTTACTAAAATCCTGGAGCTTCGACAGTAGTGAGCAGAAGTCATACATTGTTAAGATCATCAGAAAGGTTCTTGAAGGCTGCTTTTCATTCTAGCATTTAAGTTAAAAATAAGCAATCCTCTTCCTATCTCACTCTCTTTTACTCTATCCTTCTTTCTGCTTTTATCCACCTTCTTTGTCGCCTCCTAACCTCTCCACACCGGTGACCCCAAGACACACAACAAACAACCAACAACATCTTTTGATCCATTCCCCAGCTCAGCCTCAATACAAAGTCAGCACACGCAGAAACAGGTTCTCCAGCAAGGATAAAAATATTCTTTAGCTCCAGGTCACTACCGAATACCAAAAGCTCTCACATTGCCTCGCCCAGCTGCCAGCGCATCCATTTCCCGCATGTCATCCATAATTGATTGATACAAGTAATGCTGTGAAAGTGAAAAACGAATGTAGTTCGGGAATGACGGAGTGTATAATGAGACCCAAATGCGGACCACTTAGATGTCCTCACTTTGTTGAGAAACCAAGGAGTCCGACTGAGTTTCTTGGTGCTATTGACTGAACTTTGAAGCTTGAAGTGGCATTCTGATGAAGCAATTCCCTACAGCGCTCCAAGCTGATCCGAGCTTTTGAGAGTTCTTTAGAAAAGATTGATCTGTTCTTCTCAAGCCTTCTCTTCTTTAGCCCAAGGTTCGGTGATATAGCAGATAGCGCATTTTGGATCTCAGCTCGTTCAAAATCTACAAACATAGGGTGATTGCAGTCCTCATTCCATAAAATATTTCGTGGCTCGACATCACGGTGGAGTACCCCTGCAAGGTGAATCGCTTGAAGAGACTGTGATGTCATCTCAATCACGCATGCCGAATTATCCGATTTCATAACTTCCGAGATGGGTTGTCCCGCCCAGCTCAAAAGGAGCATATGGGTATAAACTCCCCCATCATAGTAATACGGGTATTTTGGATCAAGCACAACAATCCCGAGACAAACCGGAACATAGTTGCCTTGAATATCGTGAAGCCTGTGGTATACTTCATTTTCATGTTCGAGTTTATGTGAATTGTTGCGTTCGACGCCCTTTGCAAGTAGAGTGTAGCCATGTGACAAAGATGGATTTTAAAAGCTGCCCCACAACTTCCCTTCTTGTAGAGAGGGCGACAGTTGGCATCCGGGCCA